GTTAAGGAACCTGTAGCTTTAGTTTTAGAATATTTACAGTTATTAATAAATCTATGTACATAGGATAAAATGTGTTGTAATTGTTTTAATTTAGAATATTTACTAAAGTTAATAATTGATTGATAATTATCACAAATAGCAACTGGATGTGCCTTAACTTCCGGCAAATTCTTCATCCCAATAATAGTCTGCGACTGCATAGAAGGCCACTCGGACTCAGGCAATAATAAAAACTTAGGTCCATACCACCATATTTCACATGCAGGGATTTGTTGTGGGTTAACGCCACGGGATAGTAGGTCGGCTCGGTTATGTTCTGTAGGAACGTGGTGCCATGAATTAGCGTCAGTCAACTCTTTAATGGCGGCGACTCTGTTGGTAACGAATGCTTTCAAGTTAGAAGAACCGCAGCGCAACCAACTAAGAACTACGCTCGAGTCAGTCCAATAGACATGACGCGATATTTAGGTCGTAAGGCCTTTGTCGCAGTTGAGCTCATTTCAGCTTGCAAGAAGAGCACCTGAAAGCTCCAAACGAGGAATTGTAATAGGGCTGGATGCTGGGGCAACGCGAGATTTCGCACATAACATTTGGGCGTGTACATGTCCTTCTTTATTTGTAGATCGAACGTACAAACACGCTCCATAGGCGCGTTGCGATGCATCGCAAAAACAGTGGATTTCAACAGAGACTGGATATTCTATTGATACCCATATAGGTATATTTAGTGAAGAAAGATATTTAAGTCCTTCAACAAAAGGTCTCCAAACATCGACGATTTCCTTTGGAGCAGGCTCATCCCTGTCCAATTTGAGAGACCATAAGGTCTGAATTAAAATTTTTGGGAACGATAGTGGAAAAGGATAGGAGCCCCAAGGGATCGAAGATCTTGAAAGTGGAAGAAAGAATAGAGCGCTTAGTGACGGCCTCAGACTGATTCACTGCAATGGGAAAGTTAATACTGTCGGATGAAGGACTCCAATTTAGGCCCAGCGTATTTTTAGACTGACTAAATGTCAGGTTGCCGAATGACTGGACAACATCTGAAGGCAGTAAAGAAGGTAAGTTGGATCGGTACTTACGTAAATGAAAACCAGCCCTAGAAAGAGTCTCATGTGTTGATTTTTGTATAGACCGTAATTGATCTTCATCGTCGCTAGAAGTTAGTAAGTCATCAATATCATTGTCACACTCCTCGCCCACTTGCCAGAGACACCTGGTGGCAAGGAAACTAGCGCTAGCAAATCCGTAGGTGACCGTGTTAAGCCTGAGTGTTTGTAATGGTTTGTCCTCCGCATCACGCCATAAAACCAGCTGTAGGTTTCGGTCAGACTCATTTATTAAAACCTGCCGGTACATTTTTTCAATATCCGCTGACAACACATAACGATGTTGCCGGAACCGGATGAGGATATTGAAAAGAGAGTCTTGAACTGTAGGGCCTATCATTTGAATGTCGTTTATAGACAAACCAGATGACGTGCGAGCTGATGCGTCAAAGACGACGCGTAAACGTGTTGACTAACTGTCTTCACGAATGACAGGATGATACGGAACAAAATTGGCAAGCTGAGGTCGGTCTACCTCTAGGTAGGTAGATATTTCTAGGTGTCCTAGTTTGTAATACTCCTCAATGAAGTCTACATAGGCGGACTTAAGTTCGGGTTGCTTGCGAAAGCGACGTTCCAGGTTTATAAATCGCCGCCTGGCCATGAAATAGGAAGTGCCTAGGCAGTCTGGTTCGTCGATCAATGGCTGCGTGACATAAAAACGACATTCTTCAGTGCGTTTTGTGTGCTGTAAAAAATTTTGTTCGCAAGCTTTCTCTTGGTCCGTAAGAAGGGGTTTTTGGGGCAAACTTTCAAGCTCCCAAAACCTCTTTAAATCATTGTGAAGCTCAACTAAAGTATTGTTGATTTCAATACTTACAAAATTACTTTTAACTGGAGAATTTATATTGAGATTGTCATTGATAATGAGTCGCCCTGCTCAGCGCTAACGAAAGACTTAGTATGAGAAACGAGATTTTGTTTGACGCCTTGATTATTATTCGGGTTTGACTTTATACTTTTTCTTGTTTATTTCGGTAAACAGACTCCAAAACTTCAGCACGGCCCTTAATAAACGTTATAAAATTATGTAGGCTAGGCATATCGGGACCATTAATATTAGCTTGAATGTATTCCTCCCATTTAACACGCGTATTGCTGTCTAATTTCGCTGAGAGCATGAATACGATCAGGGTGTCCCAATGATCAGTTGGTTGTTTTAAAGTATTTCAAGCACGTAGGTTTTTTGTGACGTGGTCTACTAGAAATCTTAATGACTTGTCAGACTCACGCAACGGCTCAATATTAAATAATGATTTCAAATTATTATTTATTAATTGACGAGTATTATTAAAACGCTCGCAAAGAAGACTCCATGCCGCAGGATAATTACTTTCGCAGACTTCTAAATTACATATGACACGAGGAGCTTCAGCTTCTAGATAGGAATTTAAATAATGAAATTTGTGTATGTTTTTTTTTTATTTTTGTATTATTATGTATCAGAAAACTGAACGTATCACGAAATTCCAACCATTTGTGTGATCGTACCATCAAACTTATTAATTTTAATGACTGGTAAACGAAAGCCGATAACTTCGTGATCATCTTCATCAGCTGTGTTAATACTGCTGTGCTGAAGCGACGACTTCGTACTGCTTACGGACATAATTTCCTGAGCCAATGCGATCGAATTGTGGAAAGCTTGTTCGAACTTCTCTGGTATCTAATTCTAAGCTTAAATTATTTTCCTCCAATGCTTCAATTTGATTCTGCACGTTATCGAATTCGCCAAATAAAGTCTCAAGTTTAACTAATCGCTGTGATGGCACGCTAACTTCCGTAGGAGAAAGCTTTTTACGTTTTAATTCTTCTAAATGGTTATTAAATTTCGTAACACGGCCTCTAATTGAAGCGCGTTTTAAATTAAGAGATTTATACTTTGCCTCCATACTGGCCAAGTTAACGCGCAAACAATTTAAATCGCAATGTAATCAAAACAACTAGTTATGCGCTGTGCTAATCAAATAAATAAGAATTGCATACGATACGCTCCCCGCTTTGTAGCCGCTGTGACGGGAACCGATTTTAAATCAGCAGAAGTACGGTGCAAGGTGGGATAGATGACGCGCACCGCTCTCGGCCTATAAACATAGGCATTATAGTAACACGACGTGAGCCCGCACCCCGCACCCGCAGTGCTTGCACCAGTGACACGGGATGCGATGATAGCCTCGAGTCCCTCGAGCGACCGCTGCGCCGTAGCTGAAATTGATTGTTGGAATGCTTTGTAGATATACGTACATAAAATAATAACGGAAAGCAAGATTGATTGTAAGTTTACTTGATTTGTGAAAATAATAGTTTAATTAGCGTAATATAGGGCTTAGCGAATGATTATGCTATAGTGAATTGGCTATTAAGTGATAACTAATTTATTTGCGTGCATAAAAAGATAACAGTGGATTAATTTACTTGCATTAAGAAGTTGAGCTCAAATTTTTGCGTAGCTATGTACAAAATACAAACGTTTAAAGAAATAGGTTCAGCTATTTAAATTCTAACTATTCAACGGTGGGCACCAATTAATTACATGCTAGTAAAGACTTTCAAGTCGTAAATAGGCGCAATGAATGCAAATTATAGGCGGCTTGAAAAATAGCACTGGTTAACTAGCAAATGCTGCGGCGAAATAATAGTAAGAAATGATAGCCGGTTGAGGCTCACAAAAAATGTACTTCGTCTATAATTTTCACGTGCCAAAATTCAAGAATATATAATATATTTTTTGGTAGTTCTTTGTAAATAATCTGATTATTTTCTGTATTGGGCATTATTCGCTTGTTAATATTACTCGATTTAAATTGTGAATACTTTTTAATATAAGCAAAAACAAACTGGTACAAAAAGTTGGTGAGATGTAATTTCATAGAAAAATAAAATGTGTCCATGCGTAGTACATTTTCTTTTTCTTCATTATTTCGTCGTTTGAATAAAGTATCGTGATTTCTTAATGTTATGCTAAATGTAATTGCATAAAACTACTGTTCTAATAATAAGTGTAATAAAACTAGTAAAAAAAATAATTAAAAAACGATTGAATAAACAAATGTGTTCCATCTGATTCACGTGTGTTACAAAAACTGTGTTACATAGCAGCTATTTTGGTAGAAGCAATAGCAACACGTCTTCTATTTTTTCACAATGGCAACACTATAACTTTCAATATGAAACGTCAGTGTTTTGTCAGACATCTTGGTTTACGGGCAGTAGGCAGTACTTGGTGTGTGTTATTTTTCGTCATTGGATTTTAGAGACTTTTGGAAATAATTTTGCAAGGTAAGTAATAACATTAAGTTGTTTTGTAATATATATAGTTGAAAGAGACATTAAATATTCCTAAATAATGCAGTTTATTACGGATTTGCTTTGCAAGTAAAGGTGCTACCTGAATTTTAGGTTAAGTTCTTCACGAGTGTTTGTTCACGTATGTTGCGTGTGTTATAAAGTTGTGTGACGTAACACACGTGAAAAGTATAAAGCTTAGTTCACATTGCAATACTTAGGTATAGAAAAAGCTAAATATTTATATTTTGTGTCAAAAAAAGGAGGAGTGTCTCAATTTAACTGATATTTTTTATTTTCTTTTGTATGTATGTTACGCTATTCTCCAGATTCTGTAGACCGATTTCAAAAATACTTTTTGGTGAATAGAGAATGCCTTCAGGCTGGTCGCATATAAATTTGTTGTTTAAAGTAGGCTATTTTTGGGTTTTTAAACCAGAAAAAAGTTTAATATACAACAAAAAGTAAAATGTAACTGCATTCATGGTTTTTATTTTTATTTTATGTTGATTTTACAGATGCCTCTAACACCTAAAGAAAGGCAGAAACTTTATGAAAGGCTGAAAGAAGTAAATACTGAAAAATTTAAATTGCAGCAAAAACAAAATGCAGAAAGAACAAAAAGAAATAGAAAAAAGAATAGCAGAATATCCTTCATCTGGTCAAGAAATCATAAGAAGGCAGTGGAGAGAGAGAAAGAAGAAAAGTAATAAAGAACCTAAGCCTGAAGTAGTGCCTTTAGCAGGACATGGACAAATTTTAACACAGAAGAGAAATTATAATAGAAGGGTCATTTATAGACTGAAAAATGAAAACACAAAGCTAGAAGAGGAATTAAAAAAATATAAAAAGTCGTTGAAAAAAATTAGGCAAAGATTAAACCGTTCTACGGAAAAAAAATAAAAAGTTACTTGAAATTATTGAGGAGAAAAACCAAATGATTCGTAGCTTTGAAGACAGGTCAAGCCCAATTGCCAAAAAAAATGAAGCCCTTGAACAAATGACCCCCGTTTCGAAAACGTGCGCATACATTGACCAAAATTTACCTAGTATTCGACCTGAAGAAAGAGAAATCGTGAAAAAAGTTTTGCTAGAACATAATGTAATAGTGGACACTATAAAAGACAGCTACAAAAGTAAAAACACTCAAGAAAAACGATTAATTAAAGATGTTTTTACCAAAAGTGATGACATTATAAATACAGTATGAAAACTAAGATGGCTACCTATTTAGGTCTTAAAGGAAAAATTCGTCATACTAAACAGAAAAATAAAAGCCCATTAATACAGACACAGTTAAGAAACTTTTATGAAAGGGATGATGTGAGTAGGATGACAGCAGGGAAAAATGAAGTAAAGACACAAAAAAAAACAGAGAAAGTATTTGCTTGGCACTCTACATAAATTATATCAGAAATATAGAAAAGAAGGAGGAAAATTATCATTTTCAACTTTCAAAAGGTACAGACCCTTTTATGTATTACCACCAAAAGCCGAGAAACGAGAAACTTGCGCTTGCAATAGTAAGTAAAGACACAAGAGAAATAAACATTTTTTCTAATGAAAATCAGGGAGTAGTTAAAACTAATTTAGCTGGACAATCTGTGATTGCTACGACTCTGCAGGATGATGAAAATAACTTTGACAATGCAAAAAATGACTCGGAAGTGACATCAAAAATTAATACAGACATATGGAGGCTATCTTTCAAAGACTTGTAAGGTATTATCAAAGAACCGCGGGGAAGTATTACATAGAATTCTTGGAATATAGTTTTAAAAAAGAAGGAAAATATTATTTTACCATACGATTTCTGAAAACCATTAAAAAACCGGAGCTAAAGTTTGTAATTCACAAAATAAAAGATGAAGACACTGTAACTGAAGATTTAATAGTTAAGCAAGTTAAAATAACACAAAACACAAAACGACCAAAAGAATACTTTTTAGCTGATCCTAGCGATAAGGTTTATTTTGAGTAGAATATTTACAAGTGGGTAGATATAACATATATATATATATATATATATATATATATATATATATATATATATATATATATATATATACATATTCAAATAATGCCAAAATAATACGATTGTATAATTCTAAGTACAAATTTTGATCTCTCTGTTTTTTAAGTTGTTTTATTATATAAATAATTCTATCTACAATCGTATTTTATTTGAAATTCAATTTTTTTATTGCTTTATGTGCAGCAAGCTTAACAACATTCCCAGTGTGTTACACCATTCCAGTGAGTTATCGTATGTTACACGTTCTTGTGTGTTATGGTACATTTTCTGTGAGCCTCACTCAGCCAATTAGCTGATAGGTAAGCAAATAAGTGTAAATAGGTGATTTTAACTCGTTGGGTATGTAGATTGTAGGTAGGTTTAACTAGGTAATTCTTTTAGGATTGGTTTAATAGGTATTTTATTTGGTGGGATTATCGAGTAGGAATAGTTTGTTTAAAGAAAAAAATAAACATTTATTATTTGTAATTTTATATTATTAAAATAAAAAAATTCATCATCATTGACGCTTTCCAAAATGCGAATGAGTTCTGAGGAATTGTTCATGTTGCACTGCGCTACTTTTTCCGCTATTCGTTTATGACGTCTATAATTGACCACGGCGCCCAATGAACTGATAATCGACGACGCGCTAAGGATGCGCCAGAGTTGAGATATTAGATTTATTATGCGAAGTTGATTTGATGAAATTTTCTTTTATTTATGTAGATGATGATAGTTTTATGTTTCTTACCTTTTGTTTTATTCAAATATCAATAATAATTTAAAAAAATACACGTTTGCGTTTAATTTTGAATATTTTTCAATAAATCTGCCAACGCATTACGCCAGCGGTCAAAAATAGACGACTTTGGCGTGCTGGACATAGTATGTGCTTAGATAAATATCCATTTTTTTTAGTTCAACGTTTCTTAGTACTTGTGGCTCTAGGAGACTTGTTTTTTTTACTCACATGTTGCTACGTTATTCTTCTTTGAGGAGTGTAGAATTAAAATACCAGTAATTACTTCCCAACATCTATAGTTCATATTTTTGTGGGCCGGGTTTTTTGTCAACTATAGACGTCGTTGGCGCTCAGAGCTCGCAGGTGCTTGTCAAGTATAGGCGACTATGGCGCTCAAAAGGTTAACCCCTATATATTTTAAGAGTTTCTATGCAATCAAAACAATTGGACTTTAACTTTGAAATCACTTTTGAATAAAATTATGGATGAAGATTAACTTAATTCATATTCAAAGTTTATTAGAGCCTTATTTTTGTGAAGGAAAACTAGCTTAGCGATCAGAATATACACTTTTTAGCTTCCAAATGCCAGCAAGTAACTTACAGGCTGCAGGGTAGGCAGATAACTGGCAAAATCATGCACCGGGAATATGGTTGCCAGGAAATGAACAACCAGAATCCTGCCATCTTTAATCTAAAGGTTACTATAAATTTTGAATGAAATTTCAATTTTACTTTTTAAATCTTGCTCATTTAACATTGGCATACATTTGAGATATTGTGTTTTGTTTAAGCAAGTTGTGTTGGGGTTAAGTAATGAAGTTCTAAGTGATGATGATTTGTTTATAAATTAAACTGTTGCAAAGACTTAGAAAGACACTAATCTGAATAAAAATATTCAGTTTGTCAATCAATCAGACAAATAAACGAACAAATAAATTCCATAAATGAACCAAGAAACTAATTGGGCAAACTGTATGCTTGTGTTTTATTTTGTAAATGAACAACAAAATTACCGCAATAATGTAATCTCTAATTGGATCCCAAATTTCTGTAGCCAATACTTGGTTTCCATACAATAAATAAGAGATTGCCCCAAACAAGCAAGTGCAATCATTAATTATTAGTATTTATAAAAAGTTTGAAATGAAAACATCCAATGCCTACCTAAAAGTAAGTACCTACACACTAACAAAATAAATGAAATTGTGTAAGTACCTAGTTATCTATATGTATCTATATTTTGTCATCCTGCAAACAAATTAAAAATAAAACTAAACTCAACCTAGGAAAGTTTTTTGAGCTTTAAGTATTAGGTGAGATCGGGCTTAAAATCAGTTAAGTTTTCTATCAAGAAATTCTCAGTAGCAGACCGAAGTCAAGAGTTTAGCAGGGTTTAAACCCTATGCCTCAGAAAGCATGTAAAGCCGTTTTATCTGTATCTGATCTCACTATATTTTTGTTGGATTACTAACTTGGACACAATGATAAATAGACAATTTTTAATATTTTGTATGTAATGATCAATAGGGGCATATTTTTGTGAAGTTCTATAATAGGTATTATTCATAATTATCATAATTTGGTTTTACGTATTACCCCACCACCATGCAATTAAAAACCATTTTTCCCCCATGCAAATCATATATCTTACACTTTACAGGATATTAAAAAATTAAAAAAAAAATTTATCCTATAATATTCATACTAATTTTAAAGGTACAAAAATCATTTAATAATTTTTCCCTATACAAATATTATTTTTTATTTTTATAGAAGAGGCTCACCTGATGGTAAGTGACTACCGCCGCCCATGATCAACCGCAACACCAGGGAAATTGCAGGTGCGTTGCCGGCCCTTTAGAAAGGAGTAAGCTCTTTTCTTGAAAGTCCCCAGGTAGTATCGGTCCGGAAAAATCGCCGGTGGTAAACTATTCAACAGAGAGGTCGTACGCGGAAGAAAACTCCTTCTGAAACGTACAGTGGTGGACCGCCAAGCATCCAGATGGTGTTGATGGTATCGGGACGTTTGCCGCGTAGTGCGTTCACGAAATTTGGCGGCTGGGATTAATCCGAACAATTCCTCAGAGCACTCCCCATGATAGATGCGATAAAATACGCAACGCTAGTGAATCGAGCCGATCGGAAAGCACTCGGTCGTCTACGATTCGAGCCGCTCTGCGCTGTATGCGCTCAAGTGGAAGGAGCTGGTACTGGGGAGCTCCAGTCCAGAGATGGGAACAGTATTCCATGTGCGGCCGAACCTACGCCTTGTAAAGTTGCAGGCGGTGTGCCGGCATAAAATACTGTCCCGCTCTGCTGAGCACGCCAAGCTTTTTAGAAGCTAATTTGGCCTTCTCTTCCAAGTGACCACGAAACTGCACGTCACTCGATATGTCGACGCCGAGGATTCCGATACTGGCTGAGGCAACAAGGGGAGTCTTGAGCCTTGAAACTGAGGAGATACGACAAAGGGGTTCTTTTTAGCGGTTAACGCGCAAACTTGTGTCTTCTGAGGTTTAAACTGGACTAGATTTAGTCGCCCGCAATCCGAGACTGTTCAGCAAAGACTCGACTTCAGACACAAGTTTGTCCCGGTACTCGGAGACGTTTTCCCGAGAAATATTGGCACGGCCAGTGTACAGAGCATCACCAGTGCTGTCATCTGCTTAGCAATGATTGTTACGGGTTTGCAACATATCACTGATATGCAGAAGAAAAAGCGTTGGCGATAGCACGCAGCTTTTTGGAACACCAGCATTAATAGGCTTGTAATCGGAGCTTGCACCGTCTACAACGACCTTGATGCTCCGATCTGCAAGAAAGCTGGTGATCCAATGCATAATTTCTCGGGAAGCCCATAGGAAGGGAGCTTCGAAAGAAGCGCTTTGTGCATGAGCTGGCAGTTTACAATGGACTCCATTGTTTTGGAGAACAAGGAGGTGATGGCATTAGGCCGGTAGTAGGACGGGTCTGAGCGGTCGCCTTTTTTAGGAATCGGGTGAACGAAAGCCGTCTTCCATGATTTTGGGAGTACACTTAGGGAGTAGGAGTACCGGAAAAAACGCGTTAAAACCGGTGCCAACTCTGGAGCACACGTCCTCAGCACAATTGGGGGGGATTCCGTCAGGCCCACTCGACTTGT